GTGGGTCTTGGATATTCCAGCTCTCTCTGAAGTATTTACTACTTGATTGAGAATCCTGGAATATTCCCTATTTTTAAGTTTAATGATGTAATAATATATTCGAGGGTTTGGGTCTTGGATATTCCAGCTATCTCTGAAGTATTTACTACTTCATTGAGAATCCTGGAATACCCACCCTTTTTTTATGCACACACATGCAATATGATCATACATTTTGGACGATGAGTTGGGCCTTGTTACTAGCCACTAAATAAAAGTATAAAGCTTACTTTATGCTTTTGTATCTTAGAGTTTTTCTCTTTTCTAAACGGTGGTATGTTTAGAAAGAAGGAAAGAAAAACAGTTTTCAGACCGAGTTGGGATTCAAAAGTATAAAATCGTATTTATTCTTTTGTTTTTTAACTTTCGTTTGAAAAGAAAAACTTAAATTTTCAAATACTAACATTTTTTTCTTTCTCTCGTTTCAGATGAAAAAAAAAGAGGTTTAAAGCTGATTTGTTTTTGATAAGATATGTCAAGCATACAATGTACTAATATATATTTTCTTTTCCTCTTGCAGAGCAATCCCAGATGCAATTAATTTAATTATTCCAATGCACACGCAGTTTCAGTTATATACGTACGCCTTTAACCCTCCAAGGTCATGCGCTTGCATAAGGTGGAGGACTACGTTTCCAGGGAGATTTTTCGGCCATTCTCTTGTCTCTGGTTTTTCGTAGCTGGCAGCGCACCAAAAATTACACTAATGGGGAGAAAAAGATTTTATAAGGAATATATTTGGCTTTTCACTTTCTCGATTTGTCCTTTTCTCTGGCACACCATTTATGTCTTTAGTCAAATAAAATTTAAATCACTTCGAATTGACTGCGGCGCCTTGTTCTAATGGTATGAAACTTTGAGCATTTTTAGTTTGCAACGAGGTTTTCGACGATTTCGAAGATGCCTTGACGTATTCAAGACCTTTTCAACGATGCCAGTGAAGCCACATATAAGTTTAAGGACCCTGTTAGAATATAAAAATAAAAAGAATTTACATTGATTCATGCACACACCTTCGATATTTTTATTTTTATACTTTACAGCGTCCGATAAGTTATATGTGGCCAGATTTTGGTTTTTCAACAAAACAGTGTAAACGTTTTTGGGATTGTCAACAAACGGCTTCAAGCTTTCTTTGGTTTTTCAACAAACGTGTCGACGTTTTTTTGGTTTTTCAACAAGCGCTTCAAGCTTTTCTTGATTTCAACGCGTCGTCATTTTTGGTTTTTCAACAAACGTGCGTTACCTTTTTCTTTGGTTTTTCAACAAACGCGTCAAAGTTGTTTGGTTTTTCAACAAACGCATTCAAACGGCTTCAAGCTTTTTTGGTTTTTCAACAAACGTGTCGACGTTTTTTTGGTTTTTCAACAAACGCTTCAAGCTTTTCTTGATTTCAACGCTTCGTCATTTTTGGTCAGTTTTCAACAAACGTGCGTTACCTTTTCTTTGGTTTTTCAACAAACACGTCAAAGTTTTTTGGTTTTTCAACAAACGCATTCAAGTCTTTGGTTTCAACGTCTTCCAAGGTCTTCCAGGATCCTGTCAGTGGATTCCTACTATTGAAAATTTTTCTGCCAGACTCGAGATCTATTCCAAGTGGTGCTCACAGATGCTTAATTAATGCGCTCCAAGAAGCTGCAAGAGGCAAGTTCTGAAGACGCTAATGGTTTAAAGATGCATGTATGCTTTGATATCTTGATTTTGATTTTTTCGATGTGTGCCAGAGTTTTTGAAATGTTACAAAAGCTTTAAAGACAAATTTCTCGTTTCGATTGGCATTGTGTTTTGGCCTTGTCTCTAAAACCCACCCCAAAACTCAGTAGTGTAACAGGGCACGCTCGGCTTACGAGCCAAGAGGACTGGGTGCGATTCCCAGCTGAGTTGGTGGAATCATGAGTCGGGTTCCAAAATTAAGACACGGCGCGCAGTTTAAATTCATGATCATGAGATTTGCAGCGTGTGCAAGCTCAAAAGAATAACAAAAATTGGCCTCCACATGTCAACTAAAGCTAGGTTTTTCAAGACGCCATATTGGTTGACTTTAGTTTCGAGATAAAACTAAAGTTTCGAGTAAACTAATTTGCGACTGATATAGAGCTGATATATTTGATGTACAGCATTTCCGTATTGCGCACGGACCTACCTGCATGATCACATAACCAAGCACGTGCTAGGGATACATGTTTTTGGCATTGCGCAGAAACTTCTACACCCGTTTTTTGCATCCGCATGTTCGCAATTTTTAGAAATAGAATTTTTTAAATTCGCGCAGATCTACCACATGGTTAAAGTACGTGTTTTTTTACTGTGCGGAAATTTGATGGCAGCCATGACAGGAAGCAGGAACAATAGCGCAGCGCAACCATGACGTCATAAAAACGAAGACAAAGGCGAAATTCGGACAAACTTACAAGTTTACTTTCAACAGATAATTTTCACAGCCGATCGCAGTTGATCTTAGTTTACATGGGTTATTATTGTAACTTTAAGTAAAAATAATAAAATCGGTTCGTATAACCTCATAGCGGTTAAACAGAATCCAATGTTTGTCCGAATCTTTAAGCTATTTTTAGAATCAGTGTGCTGCGCTATTGAATCTCGTCTAGTTTGACTTACATGAGAAAGAATTCAATTTCCCAGGAGGAAAATGCTCTATTGTTGTGCCTGCTATCATGGCTGCCATCACTTGATGGTGCAAAGCCTCTGTTGGAGTTCGCTTGGATGATCACGAAACAATGGTATAAAGTCAGGACTGAACTTGATTATTTTATTCCTCAAGTCAAGCAGCGGAAGCCTGAACAGGTACAACGGAACAGTTTTTAAAGTCGGGAGACTACAGTTCTCCCCTTCCAGTTTTAAGGTGAACTTTTTTCTTATTCCTAGACAAAACAAAATTGTAGTTATCGTAAAAAGTGGGGTTGGGATAGTCCTTGCTGAATAATAGAAACTTAATAATTCCAAAAATTCTAATTAATTCAAATAACTAATTCAATGAGGTTCACTACCCCATGAAGGAATTGTTATGATCAACTTTAATACAAAAGCTGTCTAGTCAACCAATTCTTATGCAGTAAATTAAAGAAGAAAATGCTTTGTAAGCTGCGTGTATCAGTATTACATAAGAAGCAAACATACTGTTATTTCTTAACATGTGCATGTTTCCTTTAGCTAGCTTTGACGCACCTGGTATAGTACTATTAAGCACTCAGTAAGAGAAAAGGAAAAATCCCAAACGAAGTCAACTGAGATGGCTGAAGTCGAACCAGATCATTGGGCTTCTAATGCAAATGATACTATAGACGAGGGCAATGGAGAAGAAACCAAAACCACGGAAGATGCAGGTAACAACATTGATTGACAGTCGAAAACATTAGCCTAGTTCTTAACTTAAATTACAAATTAGTTCCAAATAAGGTCGTTGAATCCTATCTCGACTCAGATTTTTTTCTAAGCTCTTATTTGATGGTTGCTACGAATAATTAGTTAATTTCATAGATTTTCCACCATGTATTACTTTTCATCTTCTAAAGTATATTTTATGATATTTAAAGACATTTAAGCAACAACCAGAAACAAAAGAGTTTTTAAGAAGTCTTTAAAGTAAAGTTTGAACTTCTTCAAGAGTCTATACCGTTTTCTGTAACACGAACTTGAACGAACTTCTTGAAGTTATGAATGTGGGAAAATACTAACTTAGAATAAACTAATAATCAATATTTTACCAGAAAAAGCAGGTAGGGCGAACATTCGATTGAAGAGATTGAAGAACGTATTTTTTTACCGGTTATAACGTCACCCCCCTCACCAAATAAAAGGGCCTATTTTTCTACTAGAACTTGATTTTTAATGAAACGAAAAACCTACGCATGCGCAGTAACCATGTATTGAAATGTAAATTTTCATTTTCGAATAGAAGAAGGGAAAGATTATTATAGCAGGTGGTATAGTGCCTCTGCGCCGAACACGCTGATTTGAAGTGAATTTTGTAGAGAAAACAAAATTAATCTGGACTTAGATTCAAGTCAGTATGTCATCTATGTCATTAGAATCAATGTCCGGGGCTGAAACACTGTGCTTTCCGATGCTGCCGAAGATTCCAGGTAACACTGATAGCGCGATCATTATCATGATGTCAAGATTTGCTTCTAGAAAACGAACCATTTTTCTCCTTATTTGAGTTTTGCTTGTTTTTCTAATCTTAACGAGTTAACTATTTCAAATAGTAAAATAACACTGATAATGATTTTCCACTTTTAAAGCTAAAATACAGTATAGAAAAAATGCAAGGGACTGTTACGTAACGCATCGGTGACTGAGTGAACCACATTTCGAGTTTAACGTGATTTGGTGTGACGGTTATCGGTATTTGTGCGTAATCTTGCGTGATCTTTAGTATTATAGCCTGGACTCGTTACGTAACTGTTTTGTTTGTACAACTCCAAATGCTGTAGATGACTCCAGCGACAGCAGTCAAGAGAAGACAAAAATGGATGGCCTTTCTAAACCCAAAGCAAGTCTCATTAGTAACGAGGTCGTACCTGAAGTTGCATCAGAGCCAGAAAATCCACATGCGGTTTCTTCTTTGACTGGAGGAGGGGATAACCAGAAAAGAGCGACACTCTCCTGGCACGGTGTCGATGTGTTTGCTCCGATTGATAGAGGGTCAATTTGCAGACGACTCTGTCGTAAAACAGATCCAAACGAACCTAGAATAAAGCAGATTTTATTTGATGGTAAGAAAATTAATGAAGCATGATTTAATTATTAAGCTTGATTTGGTCTGTTGGAGAAGAGTGAGTGAAATTCCTGAATTGCATTGTTTGCAAAGTTTGATTGATAAAACAAAAATATATAATGTTAAGCAAAAGAAAAAAAGCATCTCTAATTTTCTTTTATGAAGATTCTTTTGGTAAAGAATGCATACAGATATACTACGAACTAGTATGGAGTTATATTTTTCGAGAAAAGGAAATCTGAAACTCGCGCCAAAGTAAAGCTCGTTGGTCGACTAATTATTAGCTCGTAATTAACCGTTTTGTGCCATTTGCGCAGCATTTTTGTCATATAATTGATCTGAAAATGCGTGAAAAGTCTATACTAGTATGCATGTAAGTGAAACTGTTCGTGGTTACACGCACACAGCATGAAAACATATTTGAAGCTGAAGAGGAGAGGCCTGAATGATATGAATAAGATTCTCCATCAAGCCATCATCAGGGGCAGATCCAGGAATTTTAAAAGGAGGGGGGAGGGGTGACTGTCTTACTAGTGGTGTACAGAGAAATTTGAATGAAAGGGGAGTGACTGGTACCACCCCTGGATGAGCCCCTGCACCATCTAGCGCATATATATACAGGGGCCATTTATGCCATTTAGTTGGAGGGGGCTTGCAAAAATAGAAGGGGGCTATATAAATTTTTTTCTTGCCCCCATATTATATATACATGTATATATAATATATTATCGATCCCTAAAAAATGTGTTGGTTTTTATAATAATTTTTTCAGTCCTTAATACTTTTTTTCCTTTCATTTACAGTAAACGGGAAGGTTGAACCTGGAACACTTTTGGCAGTCATGGGAGCTAGGTCAGCAACAATGAAGCATTTTATTTTATTATACAGTACAAGACAGTGCCAATGAACTAAATATAATATGACTCAAGGAATGTAAACCAACATCTAGCATGGTTGGCTCAGTTAGTTGAGCTGGGAATTGGACTGTACATTTTGAGGGGACACTAATTATTTACTGCAACTAAAAACTAAGTTAATCCATTTGCATAGTTCCAGTTCCAAAATGCATTAGAAAGGGATATAAGTAATTTTTTCAGTAATGATTTTTTAAAAATATTTTAATAATTTAGTGGAGCAGGCAAGACGACCCTGATGAACGTACTTGCTCATCGTAACATAGGGAATGTCAAAGTGATGGGATCAGTTATGGTCAATAACACTCCCGTTGGATTGAATATTAACTCCATCTCAGCATACGTCCAACAAGAAGATTTGTTCATTGGTACACTGACCGTTAGGGAACATCTGACCTTCCACGTATGTACTGTAATAATGAATTATACTTAGGCTGTCTGTAATATGTAATATATTTTTCAGCAACCACGCAGGAAGTAATTGCTCAGTTTCCTGATACAGGGGCCCATAAGACCTAATGGAAACAGTGTCTAACCTAAAGAAAACCCTTGAAACACAAAAGAAAACTGGCAATAAATCTATGCTCATATGATGGCAAGCTAGTCCAGGGATCAAACCCATGGCCGCAGCAGTGGGAGGCAATACATTATTAGTTCATACCAACTGGATGTTCTTATTAGTACTTAATTTAGTTTTGATTTACATAAAGATGTTGCTTTTAAATCAAAATGACTTCCACAAATAAGCAGAGCCCTTCAATTCATGTGGCTTTATTTGGTGCTAACCCCAGTTTTTCAACACTTATAAAATGCACTTACAGCATGTTTACTACTGTAAAAAATCCACTCTGGGTGTGAACAAAGTTTGGGCTTGGAAAAGGAGGATATTTATGTATTGGCAGGGAATACCTTTAGCATGGAGTAACAGATTCGTTGTATCTATTGGTAGACAGTCAGGGATCATTGCATTGCTGTAACTCATCATAATATTCTTCAATCATGTTGTTCAGGCACTTCTAAGAATGGACAAACATGTTTCCAGGGCAGATCGATTGAGAAGAGTAGAGGAAGTGTTACTGGAGGTAAATTAAGTGTTCTGGTATTGATCAGCTTACTATAGATCCCTTGCAGCACTTTGGAATGTCACTCAATCTGGGGGACAAAACAATAGGTTCCAATTTTCATGAAATTGGACTTATTTTTTTATAAGAGTTGATAGTTTTATAGGGAAATACTATTACGTACTGCCAGAACTGATCTGGACTGTTTTTAGTGAATTATTACAAAGACAATAATTATAATGGTTATCATTATGGCTTATTTATAAGTGGTAGAAGTATATTTGCAGGACTTAAAACAATGGCTGCTCAATGGCTGCTCAATGACTGGACATGATGACTGGCCATATCAGACTGATAAACGTGTGACCAGTCATTGGGTGACCAGTCATTGTGTGACTAGTCATTGTGTGAGCAGTCATTGTGTGAGCAGTCATTGTGACGAAACCACTGTGACAGGTCAAGAGGACTGGCATGAGAGGTGTTTGACCAGACAAGTGCCAATTTTGGCCACACATTTTCTTCCTTGACCAGCTGTCATTTTAAGCCCTAATTTGAGAGAAACAATATTATAAATATCGGATAGACAGATCTGACCCCTTTCTACTGTCACCTCAAATGTACCACATGAGTTACTTAAACTGGACATGACTTGCAGCCAAACGTTTGGCCTTGAAACTTGACTTGTTATTGGTTTGTTCTAGAACTGATATGCTTATATTATATTACCTTCTCAAAATGTAAAAATTACGTTGTATTTCAGCTCGGACTAGTCAAATGTGCAGATACACTGATAGGAATTCCTGGACGCATGAGAGGCATATCTGGAGGAGAGAAAAAGAGACTTGCATTTGCTTCTGAGGTTTGTATTCCTTGTAATCATAATTATCATGTATATAATGACGATTATTTGACCATCCATCTGGCTGACCAACTGAACAACAGGCAGTTGACATATAGACCAATAAAAAACTACACAGTTTGGTAGGGTAACTAGAATTATACAGAGCAATTTTCATTTAGGCCCTTCTAGATTGAATTAGAATTTAGAAGTTGATTTTTGTAGAGGGAGGAAAACCAGAAAACCTGGAGATAAAAACCTCCAAGCACATGCAGGAGAGAACCAACAAACAAAACGTGCGATGAGTCTGGGAATTGAACCCAGGTCACATTAGTGAGAGGTGAGAGCTCTGCTACAGCGCTAGCACCCATGCTTCTTAGACATGTAGCAAGCAGGCAGACGGATAGACCATCTTCCTGCCACCTGGTTGGCTCAGTTGGTTAAGCATCAGACTGTTGTGTGGGAGGTTGTGGGTTCAAGCCTCTGCAGCCAGACCAACAGTCTCTCCACACTTCATCATCCATCAGACTGTTGTGTGGGAGGTTTGTGGGTTCAAGCCTTGGCAGCCAGACCAACAGTCTCTCCACACTTCATCATCCATCAGACTGTTGTGTGGGAGGTTGTGGGTTCAAGCCTCGGCAGTCAGACCAACACTCTCTCCACACTGCATCATTACTAACTAATTATTGGAGGGCTGTAAAAGAACCACTGAGGACATAAAGAAACCCTGGCAGTGACCACCCTCAGTGCCTACACCTCATACTAACCACCACATGATTGTAAACCCCTTTGCATGTACATATATATATAGAAAAGGGTGCTATATATAACTCACAAATTTCAAGCAAATATAAAAAGAGAAATATTCCTTATAACAGACACACAGGCAGAAAGACAATCAAACCAGCAAACACAGACAAGCAGACAGACAAACAAAATCTTTAGTCCTTTTCTTTTTCTTTCAGGTGCTGACTGACCCTTCTATTCTGTTTGCTGATGAACCCACTTCTGGTCTTGATTCCTTCATGGCCCAAAACGTAGTGTCTACTTTACAACGACTGGCATCACAAGGAAGAACCATAGTCTGTACCATTCACCAACCTTCTTCTGAAGTATATGCCATGTTCTCCAGGTAAGAACTTCAAAAGATGTTAAGCAATCGTTCCCTGCAAAGAGACAAACTGAGAAAAATGAGACCAGCACCAAAGCATTCTGGCAAGCAAAGTAGTATGAAAATTTCAGCAAGTACAGACACAGAGCTACAGTAGCATGTGTGACAGAGTCAAAAGACACTATTTTGGACAGTAATTATTTAGTCATAAATCTATATTTTTAATTAGGAATGCCTCGTGTACACATAGGAATGTAATTCTTTAGTTAACTGTTTGCGTGGAAAATGCGTAAGCAAGAAATAATTTCCGTACGTAGTTACATTACAGTGAGTCATGCCTAGGTTTGGCGCTTGTTTACGTAAGTTCGTGTTTGGGACATCCTGTTTGCGCCTAGGGCGTGCAACATTGCATAGGATGTGTAAGGTCTTAAGAATGCAGGTTTTTCCATAAAAATAGGCCCAAACTAAGCTTAAATCAGTGTAGT